TGTAGGGCTTGGTTCCAGGACTTCCCCTCTCCCTGCACATACCAAAATCCATGCACACTGAAGGCCCGAAGTTCCTGTGGAACCTGAGTATGTGAAAAGTCAGCCCTCCACATACGCCGGTTTCACAGCCTGCAAATACTGTATTTTTGATAAAAAAAAATCCACCCATATGTGGACCCACACAGTTCAAACCTGTGTTGTTCAAGGGTACATGTAATGAAGTATTATTCAGCCTTAAAAATGAAGAACCTTCTGACACATACTATAACATGGATGAACCTTGAGGTCATTATGTTAAGTGAAATAAGGCAATCACAAAAAGACAAATATTGTATGAATCTACTTATATGAGGTATCTAGAGAAGTCGAATTCATAGAGACAGAAAGTAGAATGGTGGTTTTCAAGGGCTGGGGGAAGAGGAAATGGGGAGTTGTTTAATGTACAGAGTTTCGGTTGTACAAAATGAAAAGATTTCTGGAGATTGGTTGTACAACAATATGAATATACAGTACACGACTGAACTGTACACTTAAAATGATTAAGATAGTATATTTTACATTATGTATTTTATCACAATTTTTTTAAAAAGGAGAAAAAAATTATTTAGAGGAAGGAAGATATATTACATATAAAAGAATAGGATAAAAATAACAGCTAATCTCTCAGCAGAGAGGGTCAGAAGACTAGAATGGGGGGAGGGGGACATAGGCAATATACGTAACCTTAACAGTTGTACCCCCATAAGCTGAAATAAAAAAAAAAGAAAAGAAAACTAGAATGGTATCCTTTAAATACTGAAAGAAATAGAACTGTCGTTTTGGAATTCTATACCCAGAAAAAAATCGCCCTCAAATATGAAAGTGAAATTAAGATATTTCTAGATAAATGAAAGCTGGAAAAATATGTCACCTGGCCACTCATGTGATAAGAAATGGTAAAGGGAGCACTTCATAGTGAAGAGAAAGAAAGCCATTTAAAAACCTCACTAGATAATGTTTAATTTTTGCTTTTAACATTTATACATATTTTAAAGAATTTGAAAGGGAAAAAGTTTTTTATTTTATGCAGATATTTACTATTTCTGTTGCTCTTCCTTCTTTCCCAAAGATCCAAGTTTCCATCTGGTACATACCATCTTGCTTCAGCCTCAAGAACTTCTTTTTCATTTCTTTAAAACAGATCTCCTGGACATTCTCTTAGTTTCCCCTAATCTGAGAATGTCATTTTGTTTCCATTCCTGAAGGACATTTTTGCAGAATAAAGACTTCTAGGTCAGCAGAGGTTTTTTTTTTCCTTTCCATTAATATAAAATGTTTTCAGTTATCATATGGAGCATTGCTTTAACAGGGGCTTTAAAAATCTGTGATAACTACAACATCAGGGTTTTCTTGAGGTTAGCACCTGTGTCTTCCATAGGGAACAGGTTATATTTTGCTGTTGAGAAATCTTGGATTATACATTCTGAATGTTGTGACTGTTACATTGTATAGATTCTGGGTCCCATTACAATTCTCTGGAGAACTGATAGCTTTATTTCTGCAGGAAATCACCCTGGTTAGGTTCAGACTACAAGTTCTGTCTCTCCTGTGTGTGGCAGTTCAAATCTTAGTTCAGTTCATGTAGCCTTTGTCATGCTAGTTTGGGCCTGTCCCACACGTACCATTCAAGATGAGCCTGAGACGTGATGTAGCTTCACGCCCAGAAGAGGAGATCCCTCCTTCAGCTCTCTTAGCTCTGGGATACTTACACTTTCCAGCCCCCAAGGGGCTCATTTTCTGGTTCCACTACCCAGAAAGACGGGCTTTCTATGAGGGCTGTAGCCTTGTGATGGGGCCCGCCCTGGAGGCAAATCCATGAGACAAAAAATTCATCTCTGTGTAGATACTTTTCCAAGTTTTTTTCCTCTCTAAAATCTGCCTCCTTTTATTTACTTTTCAAAGTCTTTGGGTAATTGTGCTTTGGATTTTGTCCAGAGTTTTTAGTTGTAATCAGTGGGAGGGATACATAAAGTTGGCCTGCTGTGTATGTGGATTTCACATCCCTTGGATACTTTACCAGTGTAAAGTATCTTCTTTACTTCTGCCACCAAAGTGGGGCTAGAACTCTTAAAATCTTTTTCAAAGTTTCTTTCTCTCTTCTAAAATTCACCATCTCTTCATGCATTATGCCCACCCACCCCTATAGATTAAAAAAATTAACATAATTATTTTAAAGTCTTTGTAGGCTGGCTATAAAATCTGGGTTTATTTTGGTTTGTTTCCATGTACTAAGTTCTCTCAACCATGGGGTGATGTTTATAATTTCTTCACATGTCTAGCAATTTCTCACTGTATACTGAACATGTGAGATTGTATGTTATTGGAACTTCATTGGAAAACCCGTGTATTATTAATGGAATCTTATTTCTTTCAAGTGTCAGATTTCTTCCAGTGTCTGTCTGATTTTTGACTGTTTTTGGTGCCTTCAAATAATTGTTTTTTTAATCTTTTGTCCAGAGTTTATAATTGTTACAGTAGGTTTAGTATGATGTAAGCTACTCCATTAGTACCAGAAACTATAGTATATAGTCTTTCTGAACTTAAGAAAGCTTCCTTCCAAGCTCTCTCTCTCCTTGGAATTCTGCCAACACTGTTTGAACTTATTATCTCCAAAAATCTCCTTAGCTCCTTCTCATCACCTTCTTATTCCCTCATCCACATAAGTGAAAACAAAGACACAAGGAAAAGCACAGCTTGGTCAAGGACCCACAATGCTGCTTCCCCAACTGCAGGTAAGTTCTATCTCCTCTACTATGTTCTCTCTCTACAACACAGATTTGTTCAAATATTTATTATGCACTTACTATGTGCCCTGGGTCCTGTCCTCAAAGAACAGAAACATATTATTATAAAAATCTATAATACAAGGCAGAAAGTTCCAAATGCTGTGAGAGATATAATAAAAAACTGCTATGGCAATTCAGGAAAGACCATGAGTTCTAACTGGGAAAACAGAGGTTTTACAGAAGAGGTAGGGGTGCAGAGAGTGGGCCCGAATTGCTAATTCAAGCAAAGACATGTATGTATATTTTTTCCTCTGATGCTTTAGCAGTATTGTGGGAGTGGAGGTGGGTGGTAGTTATTAATATTATATTAATATAAAGACTTCTACTTCAAGCATGATCTGTAGACAAGCTGCACTGGTGTCATCCAGAGTTTATCAGAAAGGCAAGATCCCAAGAACCCAGGCTTACTGTATGAATGAGCATTTCAACAAGATCCTCAGGTACTTTGTAGGCACATTAAAGTTTGCAAGGCACTTCTACTACCCACCTTATTCAACAGAACTGTGTTTTAAAAACTCTTCTGTAAGAAGGGCACAGGGCACAAGGAGAACAAGTAATATGTATTGCGTATCTACTACTGCATATTTTAAATATGTTCTGTCATTTTACATACATTAGTAAGCCTCTGAATTAGTCATTCCCATACTGAAGATAAGGAAACTGAAGGTAAATGAGGTTAAATAAGTGGCTCAAAATCACCAAGAGAGTGACAGAACCTGAATTTGCACCCATATCTGACTGACTCTAAACCTTAACATGCTTTTAATTACACTGTACTCTCTATTTCTGGTCCAGTATGCAGGAGAATCAGGTACTATTTACAGTCCTGCCACTAACTAGTTCATGGACCTGGGCTGATTCATTTTATCTTTTTTAGAACTCAGCTCTTCATGTGAAAGTGGATGGAGGTTGAAATAGTGAAAGTTCACAAATGAACAAATCATGCTGCTTCAGGAAAAGGGGTATTTGAGGCAACCTCAACATTGAGTGTTGCGAGTTTATGTGATGATAAAGGACTCAGAAAAACAGAAGCAGAGTAGCACAGCGTAAAGAATACAGGACTAGAAATAAGAAGATCTAGGTTCTAGTCCTCTCTCTGCTATTTACTAACTGTGAGCCTCAGTTCCTTCTTCTGTGAAGCGAAGATAAGTTATCTATACTGCCTATCTCTCAGTGGGTTTGATTGGTTTAAGTGAGGATATGTAAGAAAATATTTTCACAGATATCATGAAGTGATATATAACACAGCATTTCTCAATTTGCCTTAATTTTCAAAACTTGAATTAGATATTTCTAAATTAATTAAGGAATGTGATTTGTAATCTGCTGGCAATTGGGAACTAGCTCTGGCAAAGCTATGGGCTCTGTGCTTTTGCTTACCCTAACAACGGGAATAAAAGGTAACAAAAATATGTACAGGTTCTAGACCCCTGAGAGCTAGTGGCACTAGAAAAATAAAGACTATTACCCTAGAGCAGGGAGTCCTTGTGAAGTTGGAAATGTTCCATATCTGTGCTGTCTAGTATGGTGGCCACTAGCCGCATGTGGCTACTGAAAACTTGAAATGTGGCTAGTACAACTGAGGAACTGAATTTTAAATTTTATTTAATTTAAATTGTTCAACAATGCAAAGGTTTTATAGCTATACTCTTAAGGCCAACAAGTAAATTCACTTTATTTTTTTCTGAAACTCTAGCTCCTAGGCCAGGGGTCCTCAAATTTTTTAAACAGGGGGCCAGTTCACTGTCCCTCAGACCGTTGGAGAGTGCGCACTGTGGGCCTGAGATGAGTCGGCTGCTAAGCAGGACAGGCAGCTGTGGCAAAAACACCCGGCGGGCTGGATAAATGTCCTAGGCGGGCGGCATGTGGCCTGCAGGCCGTAGTTTGAGGACGCCTGCCATAGGCCATTCAAATAAAGTTTTTTAATAGCATGATTTTTTGATAATGGGAGGTTTCTCTGGAACCCAATTATCACTTTGCAGCAACACAAATGATACCAATAAAATGTGATGGTTACACAAACAAAAAATTGTGTTTTGTTATACAGGTGTTTATTTACCTAAAAAGATGTAATATTTTGATCCTTTGTCTTTAAAATGAAAATACGGGGACCGAAAAAGTGCTAGGCCTTGTGAGTGGTCACTCATCCATCTAATGGCCACGGCAGTCTCCTACCTTGCATTTTCTGCTCTCCGGCTTATGCACTGGTGCAAGTAGAGATACTCCTGAGGTGCACTGGTGGACAAGGTGGGCTGCATGTGGTTTGACACAGGGGGCTCAAACGTGAACAAGGTTGGCTGGCTGGAGTGCGATGGGGCTGAGGATTTTCGTTCTCGGAGAAGGTGCTGATTGGAGCTGCTGAGCTCAGCTGGAGAAGAGCGGGGCCCGTGGTGACTGGCTGCGGAAATGTTTCTCAGGGAATCTGTGAAAAGGAGAAAGAGCTGTGTGAATGAAAAAGGATGGAAAGGAGTCCTTATCCTAAAGTGGGTTGTCAGAGGAAGAAAAAATATTGCAGTAGCGTTCTCTCCCTCTCACATACCTGCCCCTTCTCTGCTCTCGCAGAGGAGGGCTGGGGCCTCCTGGACATCTAGGTTGAAGAGGAGATGCTCTGTCCCTCTGTACTGCTTTTTGAGTAGCCTGGAGGCTATTTCCTATCACAACCTGGCCTTATCTGCTCCATTTCCAAGAGGTGCAGCTACTCACGGTCTAGGAGGAGGATCTTGATCCTCAGGCAAGGTCAGCCTTAGAGCAGTGAGCGCTCCTGCTATCATTACCTCCCACAAAGCTAAGGCTGGCTTCGTTAAATGAGGTTTTGCTTACTGAAGACTCATTCACTGAGGCCCTAGCCTGTGCCTGTCTGAATTAATGACAAAAGCATAAATGTATCTGGAGCTGTCCCGTAAGACTGGACCTCAGCTTCTCCAGCCTGCCGTCCAAGTCCTTCAAGGACAGCTGTGTTCCCCACTCCCCACCGCTGTCTATTGGTCTTTTTCTCTCTTAACTCTTATCACAAACTCTCCTCTGTTGTGTTAGAAAGGAAGTGAGGTATTAAGGACAGATAATAGCTTAGAGTGCTATACCCCAAGCCAAGGGCATTATTCATTTGGCTGGCTCTCGAAGCTTAGTCCAAATTCCTTAGCATAACATACAAGGCTTTTCACAGTCTGACTTATTTCCTGCTTTTCTCTACTCATAAACAAGGCATATGGAAGCATCATCAGTCCCTGAATACACCAGCCTCTTTTATGATTCTTTGTTTTGGCTTATAGTGTTCCTTCCGCCTAGGTTTCACTTCTACTCTGCTGGCAAACTCATACACAGACTTTAAGAGCCTGTAGGGATATCATATTCTCTCTGACACCTTCCTGGACTTGGTTCTTCTGTGCCAAAAGCACTTGGCCCTTACTTCTCTTAGATCCACAGTCACTCCGCATCCTTGCCTGATCCATGGCTTTCTGAGAACAGTGACTGTGATGTTCTTACCCCTACAGTCCCAGCATATACCTAATAAAAGCCAGGTACATAGAAGGTTCTTAGTCTGTGTTTGCAGAATAAGCAAAAACATTCATTCAGCATTCGAAAATTCCAATAGTGAAACTTCTTGTTCAAAATAAATAAAAATTTAAAGATGTAATTTTAGGCAGTGTGATAGCTGATGGGATAAGGTTTTGGAGTCAGTAATGGTGGCTTTCTAGGGTCATTCAAATCATAGCAGAGGGGGCGTGGTTCTTCTATTCCCTGTCATGTGACCTATTTCAGGCTGTACCCTTCTCATGGCCCTAGGCAGGGTCACCAGCTCATTAATGCTCCACGGCATTAATTACTCTCCAGTCATTTCTGATGCTGGGCACGACAACTCCTGCCAGTGTACAACGGAAAAAGCTGAGGGGACTCTGGGGAAAAACTGTTCCATTGACAGCTCTATTGACCTCCGAAATGAATTCCCATTACAGGTCTTGTAGTGAACTGGATGTTTGTTAACAGAATCAATGGCTTCATTACTCCATTAGATTTGCAAGATGAACTCTCTAATAGCAGAGAAGAGAGGGTCTACACTAAGGGATGGAGTAGTTATAGCGCTAGGGAATGAACATAAACTACTGCCTGAGAAGACACAGGGAATGTGCCAAAAGAAAGCCTCTGGTGAGATTCTGTATCTCTGTTGTCTTTCTGGACTCCTCTTCCTTTGCCCAGCCCTTCGATGGAGGCATTCTTCAGGGTTCTGCTGTAGACCCTCCTATGGCCTCACTCGCACTCTGGAGACTCTCCCGGGGTAATCCTGTCCACTCCCACAGCTTCAGTTACCACTTATGTGATGACAACTCTCAAAGCTTAATCTCTGGCTCAGTTCTCTCTCCGTGCCTCCCTGTCGTATATCCCTTCATCTGCTGGGCACCTCTATTCAGATGTCTCGCCAGCAGGTCAAGCTCAGCAATCTAAATAAACTCATCACTCCTGTGTCCCATCTCAGTGAAGTGCATCATCACCATCTCCTCCAAGCCAGAAGCATACGCACATTACCCGTGACCCTTCTCTGTTTCTCAACAACCATGTCACATCATTGTCACTGCCCCACTTAAAACTCTGCAATGACTCTGTTATCCTTAAGATGACTTACAAAGCTCTCTCCCTCTTAAAATCATTTGCCTATTTATTTCTTCAACTTTGTTTCTTACCCATCCTTGTGTTTCAAATGGATTCTAAGGAAATACCAACCTCTCTTTCATCACTTCATACATTAGGCTGTAAGCTCAGTGAGGGTAGGGATTCTGTCTCTTTCGTAATGGTTTTATCCTCAAGCCCCATGTGTGACACAACTCAATAAATATGTTTTATTCTTTATTTATTTATTTTTTTGAGACAGAATCTTACTCTCTTGCCCTGGCTAGAGTGCTGTGGCATCAGCCTAGCTCACAGCAACCTCAAACTCCTGGGCTCAAGCGATCCTCCTACCTCAGCCTCCCAAGTAGCTGGGACTACAGGCATGCGCCACCATGCCCGACTAATTTTTTGTATATATTTTTAGTTGGCCAATTAATTTCTTCCTATTTTTAGCAGAGACGGGGTATTGCTCTTGCTCAGGCTGGTCTCGAACTCCTGACCTCGAGGAATCTGCCTGCCTCGGCCTCCCAGAGTGGTAGGATTACAGGCGTGAGCCACAGCACCCGGCTAATAAATACGTGTTGATCAAAGAAAGAAAGTATATGGCATAGGAAGCCATTACTCCTTCAGTATGTTCACTGATTCCTCATTGCCTTCAGAATAAAGTCCAAGTTCCTCGGTCTGACAAGAAAGGTTATTTTGACACAACCTACTTATCCTACCTTGTCATCCAATGCATCCTTCATGCACCCTATGTTGAATGCTTTGGGCTATGAGTATGAATGAAAGAGGAGTGACCTATCCTCTGCTCTGCAGCCCTCTGCCTTGGGCTCAGGCTGTGGAACTGTATCTGTGACTCAGTGCATTTAATTGGACACCTGGGGGAAGTCACCTCAGAGACTCAGTTTCCTTATTTACAAATCAACATAAGTTGTTATAAGGATGAAATACACGCTTGATCTAGAAAACCCTGTGTGTCATAGGTACACAGAACATGTTCTAATATTTCTGTATCCCTGATGCCTAGAATAGTCCCAGCACATAGTAGGTATTCAATATATGTTTGTTAAGTATATGTACATAATGAATAAAAGAATTTTCTCTGGCATAAAAATCCAAATATGCCTGCTTCTTGTGGTGGAAATCAGAGAGGATTTAAAGATCTGATATTAAGATGTAGTAGGGGTTAGAATGAGTTTGGCTCTCATGCAACAGAAACTTGGATTTCTATTCTACCAGCACAAAGCCATGTCTATGAAACCAGCCAGCTCTATCTAATGGTCTGTAGCTCCAGAAAAGTTCTTTCAAAGTTGTTTTGGCACTAAACATTGCCAAAATCCCACGTCTACTCCCAATGTTAAACACTCTCTGCCTGAATTTATGTGATTATTCTTTGGTGTCTATACTGGGTTGAATACTTTCTCCCCAAAACTCATGTCCACCTAGAACCTCAGAATGTGACCTTATTTGAAAATAGGGTCTTTGTGGATAGAAAGAAGTTAAGAGGTGATACTGGATTAGGATTAGGATTAGGGCCGGCCCTAATCCAGTGAACTGGTGTCCTTATGAGAGAAAAGAGATAAAGAGATACAGAGACATACAGGGAGAATGCCACGTGATAACAGAGGTGGAGACAGGAGTGCTGTATCTACAAGCCAAGGAATGCCAAGGATTGCTGGCGGCCACCAGAAACTAGAAGCGGCAGAAACAGATTCTCCCTTGGAGCACACAGAAGGAACCAATGCCACCAAACCGTTAATTTTGGATGTCTACCCTCCAGAACTGTGAGAGAGTAAATTTTTGTTGTTTCTTTCTACCCAGTTTGTGGTAATTTGTTACGGCAGCCCCAGGAAACCAATACAATATCATAAAATCTAAAACTTCAAACAAGGTTTTCTTGCTTACGTCAGGAAAAATAATCACAAAGTTGAACTCGGAAAAAAGTTTCCTGGAATAAGCTCTTCCCATTTTGGACTGTGAAGGCAGAGTACCCTCCTACCCCTTCCCCAAGGTTCCAGCCCCTCATTCTGATGAGCTGCTTGTGCCCCATGGATGAGGTACCTCATTTTCCTCATCAGCTGGAGGCAGAAGCTTCACCCAGCCCAGGTTCAGTGCTGTTTTATTTGCTCCCTGAAAGCTGCTCCCCGAGAGGCACCCCACGGTCGTAAGTGGGATGGATTTTACATCCACGTTCTGGACAGGGCTGATTCCTAGGCCTGGTACTGCTGTTATTCAAGGCTCCATTGTCACTCAGTGTCAGTCACACTCTGTAAAGTTCTCAAAAATATTTCCAGACACTTCATAGAACAAAAGCTACATAGTGTGGTAAATGTAACAGAAAAAATATATTGGGGCCAGCAGCTGAGAGACTTGGCTCAATTCCTGATATGCCTACAGCTTGTTATTTGATCTTGAGCAAATAACTTAGCCTCAGTTGCCTCATCTGTAAAAAGGGACTATTGCCACTTGCCTCATTGTTTATCACAAAAGATTGATGAGGATCAAATTAAAATTCATACCCTCAAAACTTATACATGAATGTCCACAGCAGCATTATTCATGAGTCAAAAAGTGCAAACAACCCAAATGTCCATCAAATGATGAATGGATAAACAAAATATGATATATTCATATAATAGAATATTATTCAGCCATAGAAATGAAGTACTGACATATGCTATTTTGCTGAATCTTCATATTATGCTAAGTGAAAGAAGCCAGTCATGAAAGACCCCAGATCATATGATTTCACTTATGTGAAATATCCAGAATAGATAAATCCACAGAGACAGAAAACAGATTAGTGGCTACCTAGGGGAT